ACCACAAGATCATAATGCAGGCCAAAATCAGTAAGGACACTGGGATCTAATTAGAAGCTAAATCCTTCTGTATCATTTAGCAACAATAATTTCTTCAACAGCTCTGTGGGCTACTTGTTTCAATTCCAATCCTGCCAAAGTGAGCCAGCGCTCAGTTCAGAAGGGGAGTGCAATGAGTCAGATCCCCTGTTCCAATTATATCTGCATCCTGCAGTCTGCTCTTTAAAGCAAACACACACATCCTCACATTGGAAAACACACACACACACACACACAGGCAGGCAGATACACTTTGAAATCCACACTGCATCCATAGATGTCAAGAAATGCATGTAGCAGGCAGAAAATAACAGATTGGAAAACAGAATCACACGTCGCACATACACACACACACACACACACACACACCACTAAAGCAGGAGCTTGTTGACCATCACACAGCCCAGGCACTGTGAAGAAGCAGGGGGCTGAGCTCTCAGAGGTCGCTTTGAAGTTTCTATTCAGGTCTTTGTCCCATTCAGGCTGCTGGCAGTAGACATCTCTACTAGAAGCCTGGCCCCTCCCATCGTCACACCGTCCCCTCACACACACACTCAAAAAGAAAAGAAGGCACGTCTACAGGTCCTGTCCATCACGCAGACCTTAATTAGAGTGGATTCGAATGCACCCTTTTGTACCCTTCTCACTCTCTCCTCTTTCTTTAACCTCCACCCTCTCTCATTTCGCTCTCTTTCACCCGCTCCAACCCTCTCTTCCCTCCCATTCCTCCCTCTCTCGCCAAACCCTTTTTCACTTTTGTTGCCCTCCCTTTCTTGGCAGGGAGTGAGGCACCTCTCCAGACATTTTCTTCTCTATGCCTTGAGCCCCATTCTATCCCCCTCTTCTCTCTCTCCTCCTGAGTCTGGAAGCTGAGTGTGACCTAATGTTTGACAGACAAGTAGCCTTGGAGAAAAGGCTCATCTATCAGAGGTTTGTAATTCTATTAGAATGGATGGACCCCCCCTCCCCCCCACAAGGGCAGCATTTGGCATTTTTTTCTCCATCAATTTAGCCCTTAATCCTCTGGGCCACAGGCCTACTAAATGTGGTTTATGCTAACAAATAATCACAGCAAGTTAATAACAAGCGTGTGTCTGTGTGCATGCATATCCTAAC